TCTGATCCTGGAGCTGATTTATAAATGGGTTTTCTTTTGGGGTTTATTTTTAACTAGCTGAATTAACAGGCTAACAGCAGATACTGCAGTCTCTGTGCAAAATGGCAACCAGCTAGGGATCCTGACATCTCTTCCAAAGTTTTTGGCAGGCTTTCAGCTATCTAAACACAGTATGTTGGCTGGAGCTGGATAACCACATACAGTAAGAACAGATCTCTTGCTTGCTGGTGTCTATCTTTTTATTTAATACAAATCCAGATAAAAGGAACATTTTGAAGCAGACAGAAATCTTTGTGCAGAATAAAGTATTCAAGAGTTTTTGTTTATTTTAGTTCTGTTTTGGGTAATTTTTTTTTTTTTCAGATCTTTCAGAGGAAAATTTGGATTTTGTTAAGGTTCAGGAGACTTTTATTCTAGTCTCCTCCCACCCCTCTCCTCTTTTTGTGCTCATATTTATAGCAGATCCAGCTGTAGTAGAGTAACTCGGTTGTGCAGTCTTAAGGGCCACAATGGCTATTTGCCAGAAGTCTAAGGGCTGTACCTTGTCTGCACAAACACAGGACAGGATTTTAATTGGTGATAAATATGCACAGGGTGAAGTTTTTTTTTTTTTTAAATAAACTGTAGTAAGTATGCATGGCACTTCAGAGCCAGTAGACAAAATATTCTTTTAGGCCTTTCAGAGAAGGAATGTCTACGGGAAGAAAGTTTCAGAGAAGCAGCCAGATACTATACTACTTGGCATCTGGCTTTCCCTTTTGAGAGGGCTAAGTAAGTATGTTATAAAATGCAGATTTGAGTATGTTAATAGACTGATCTTTCAGACTATCATTCAGATTTGTAATGGGAGAGCTCTGCATAATAGCTATATGGGCTTCTAAAGGAGTTTGGACAGATATGCCCTCTAACATAGATCTAACATAGATCTGATATGTCAGACATTCAACTGATGATTTTTATAGAAAGTAGGGGGTTGTGGGAGGAAAGAGGTGTGACATAGCCTCAACCTGGCCCTGCAGGGGGGGAAAGGGGTATGCTCCCGCACCTCCCCCCCCCCCCCCCCCCGCCCCGCCGGGGGGGGGGGGGGGGGGAGGGAAAGGGTTTCCCCTGTGGCTGATCTTGCTGCCCAGGGAAGGGTCCCCCCGCAGCCAATCCTGTGAGGGCTGATCGCTGCAGCCAATCACTGCAGCCACTGGAAAATGGGGCATAGCTTGCCCCTGAGCAGCTGTGCAGAGCTTGGGGTTTGGGGATTTGCCAGGGTATCCAAATTTAATGGATACTGAGCCCCACCACCAAATTTCCTGATCCATGGGGAGCCCTGTGGGTTAGGTACAGTGGCTCTGTGGGCCTCAGGTTGAGCACCCCTAGCTTACTGGATGGAGTGCTGGACTAGGTTCTGCAAGACTATTTCAGCTCTTCCACTGGTCTGCTGGTTGGCACAGGACAAGTGACTTTTCTGCCATAGTGTTTTCATAATGATGATGATTCCCTTTAAGCTCTGTAATTTTAATGAAACTAGATCTTCTGGTGTCACTTAGGGGTTTCTGAACATGGCCTGATAGTTCAAGCATCAAACAGTTGATCAGATGCTGTGGCAGGGGGGCGGTGGGTGCCTGCCACTTTAAGGGCAGAGTCGGGCAACTAGCATATGCCTGATGGCGGCAGCCATTTTGAGAACCAGTTGATGGCAGCCATTTTGAGAGCATGGGATGTAAAGGCTGCAGTTTGCTGCTGCCAGCCCAGGCAGAAACATTGCCTGGCTGAGCTACAGCAGGAACACCTGGAAGGTAAGAGCAGGAAGCTCGTGGTCCTGGGCATGTCCTAAAACTGCACCCTGCTGGGGAAGAGTGGCCTGGTGGGGCTCTGGGTGGTGCGGGAGTCCCCAGGAAATGCTAGGCCAGTTACCTCCCTGGTGAAAGGTGAGGAGGGGTGCCTTAACCCCAGCCCCCATCTTCGGGTGGGCTTTGGAGGCAGTTGTGGGAGCAGTGGGGCCAGACATGGCAAGCAGAGTGCCACCTGAGCCCAGCAGGGATACGAGATCCCAGAGACCCCCAAGGGGGTGGTGTAGAGATGTTGGGAGTAGTGGGGGCCAGGTATGCTTATGTGTAGGTACCTTAGCTCAGCAGAGATGTGAGATCTGGGAGACCTCAGAGGGGGTAGCATGGGGAGTGTACAGCATGGCCCCACATAGTGTAGGGCTGAATGGGAGTAGGCCTGAAGGGCTGTGCATGATGGGGGCTGAGTAGGGTTGAACGGGAGTAGGCCTGACGGGCAGTCCCAGCGGTGCATTGAGTAGGGCTGAACTGGGAGTAAGCCTGAAGGGCAGCACAAGGGCCAGCCCCATGAGTAAGTTGATTGTGAAGATAAGACCCCAAGGTGGGGCGTGGTGTAGGGGCCCTAGAAGTGGCAAAGTAGGAATTTCAGGTGTGGGGAAGAAGCCAAGGCATGGTTGTGGATGCCTGAGGCCATAGTTTGGGCCAGAGGCCGAGTGGTGGGCTCAGCCAGAGAGTTAGGGATGAGTTCTGACCCCAGTAAGTCCTCTGCTGCAAGGAGGCCAAGTGGGTTGAAGGAAAGACCTTAAGGGGAAGCATAATGACCTGCTGCTCCAGGGAGGGAGGGAGAGTCCCTGTGAGACCCTGGAGCACCAGTCTTGGTGTAGGTTATGATTACATAATGTGGATGCCATCTGCGAGTCATGGGCTGTGGTGTAGGGGAGCTTGGAGCTGCAGATAGTGCCCCCTGCATCGGGGTGGTAACGGGCAGTCTCCTGCATTATACCAACAGCTTATGGAACAGCAGAGTTGTGGCAGGCGAGACTGGGTGGACTGCGCCATAGAAACAGGTGGGCGGGCTGGCATGAGAACCGACTCCGAGAGCTGCCCCCTGTCACAGATGCCCTTTTCTGAAAGTTGATCCCTTTGCCTAGTGGGGAAGAGCTCTTATTCGTATGTCTTGAAAGTTTGTGGTCCATTTTCATTTAGTTTAATTTATTTTTTTTGTTTGGAAGCATGTGCAGTGTATGTTTGTATTTCAGGGTGAGAGGAGCACCTCTCTAATAGTTCACGTTTTAGAAAGAGATCATTGCTTCCCCAGAGGGAAGGGTCCTGGTGTACTCCCATTGCCATCCAATCCTAGACATGTATCTGTTTTTGTGTGTTATGTTTGAGAAACTGTCAAAGGATTATTCAAAATGTAAATATTTTGTGGTGTCTCCCTCATTTCTATGTCATGACTTTTTTCTTCAGTCTCTTACTTTATTTTCAGGTAACCTTTCATATATTTATGTTTAATGCCTTAAATTCTAGAGGGAGGAAACAGTGGATTTTGCTCTGTATTTGTTTGCTTCACTCTGTCCCTATTCCTGTCCAGTTAGCTCTTGTAGGGTAGGTATAGAATGCATGTCCTACTTCCAAATGAGGCTGGGAGTGAACTGGAGCATTTCTGGAGATTATACAACCCTGTGGTATGCCTCGCCTCCAGGGTTGCTTCTTTAGCCACCTCTGTGGTGGCTAGATACCAACATCACTAAAATCAGTTTTTTTCTGTATGGGCACTTGAGCTGTAGATATGTTTGAAAGGAGATGGCATGTTGAATCTGCCACATTTTTTCCCAGGCTTGCATAAATTCATCTGGATACAATGTCAAGAAGAATTTTTTTTTTTTGTGAGCTGTTGAGACAAATGAGACTTGGTAACTGACAGTTTGGGGTATTAAAGGGGAAGACTGTCCAAGTCATCTCCATCAACTTTCACATACTTTTTTTTTTTTAATGGCAAAGCACCCTTCTACTTATCTTCAAACATTACAACAAAGATGAGTTGGCTGTCTTCCACACTTCTGATTGCCCCAAATTATGTTTTATTTTATTTCAGGGTATCCCTGGCACAACTTTCTGTTCCAGACTTCTGTTCCTATTTTGTTTCCAGTGAGAGACAGAATATGAATACTTACCTGTTGAAAGAGCTGGAATATTGACACTTGTATTGGCATGTGAAAAGAAATAGCTGGAGAAGGTTATTTGGTTAATGATTCTTGAAATAGAGGAAGTTATTGCTTTTTGAGCTAGAAATTAAGAGTGGTTAACACAGTTTATAATATAACTCTTCCATCCTACAGACAGCGATTCTGCTAAGGATTGTGTCTATTAGGACTAAAACTCCAGGCTTTGAGTTGAAAGATCTTTTGATCATTTTAACTGATGATAGTTTCCATGTTTATATTTTGGGAATATTTTTTTTTACTGAAAGGAATTGGTAAATATAAAGTTGGTTGAAGGGAATCAAGTGCTATTTTTAAAGAAAATTTAATGAACAGCAGGACTTGTTTTGCATAGCTCTCTATGACTGTCTATATTTTCAACATTTTTGAGACCTCTGTCTAATCTATTAGTTAAAAACCAGTGGCAAAACTACACAGTCAACCCTGACATAACCACAAGACATAACACCGTTACTTGCTATAAGTAAAGCAGGGGAACCACAGTGGTCAGTGTCCTGCTTCTTCAAAGGTTGTTAAAATACACTGTCATTGCCTCAGAGCCCAAGTAATATACAGCTGCATAAACTTAGTTAAAATTCAGAGTAATCTCATTTGTAAAATGACTCGTTTGAAAGTTCAGAACATTTGGCTGTATGTTGGTCAAGGTTTGTCACTAATTTGTATCTGTATTTGTATCTATAAACAATATTAGAAGATGGCTTACATGAGTAAACCTGGTACTCTGAGTTAGTATCTGGAGGATGATAACAAATTCTAGGACTCTTTTATTTGGACAATTAAAATTGTTGTAAATGCAGTGAGATGGAAATAATGTGTAATGGGGGTGGGAGGGAGAGTGATATCCAGAAACCAACCTACGTGCCGCCTAAATCGCGTGTTGAATCAATGAATGCCAGTTGATAAAGCTGGATGGTGGGTGGGTGTATGTATGTGTTTAGGATTGGGGGGAAAAAAGTAATCATGAAAGTATAAACATTTCTCTCTTGTTCTCTTTCCACAGATCTATAATGATACATGGAGTTATGATTCTTCCTGTACTGATGATGATGGCTTTTCCCTCACCCAGTTTCGAAGGTAAGTAAAGTGAGTTATAGTAAGCTAACACAGTAGCTGTTTTTTCTCTTGAAGGTCTAGGTTTGAATTCAGATTTTTGTATTAGAGTTAGTTGGTCTTAGCTTACAAATTGACAGTTGTCAAAAATTTTTTTAGAGGTATCCACTTGCTTTAGCATTTAGAGATACCTATCTTTGCACTTGCAGTGAGTGTGAGGACTCTTATCAGAACTCATTTTCAGTACCTACAATAACTTGTGTTCGCTCCAGTAAGAGACTTGAATCTTCAGGCTGACATTTTATTCAATAATACAGGGGCAGGCAAAATACAACTGGTGGGCTGGATTCGGCCTGCCAGGCCATTCTTTCTGGCCTGAGGGGCCCTCAAAAAATTTAGAAAATTAATATTTATCTGCCCCTGGTTGCCTGTCAAAGATGACAGGAACCAGGGGGAAGTAGGACCCAGGGGGAGCTGGTGGCAGAACTAAACAGCTGCAGAAGTAAGGCGGGGGAGGGGGGGCCCTCTCCCTTCCACCCCTCTTCCCCTGAGTCCCAGCTGGAAGCCTTTGCCTAGTGAAGACTTCTGGAGGCTCCTGGGACTGTTCCTGCCTCTGTGCCGAGGGAAATACAGATAAGAAGGTGGGGGGTTGGGGGAGACTTCAAAAGGATAGCCATAAATTATGCTGAAAAAACCCACAATAATTGATTTAAGCTCTTTAAGGACCATTTATGGTGTCGGTACTCAGACTAGCTTTTGGTAGGGAACCATGTATTTATACCTGGGAGGAAGATTAAGAAGCCAGCCATATCACTGTTTTGCCAATGGATTTTGACTTCTTGGGGAAGGATAACTTCTTGAAGCCTTTATTAATGGGCTCTAAATTTCTTTGTATCCAATGCCACTGATGGACCTGAAGATGAAAGTAGAGAGAAGAGTGATAGTGAGGATGCATGTGAAGCAGTCTTAAATTGTAGGACTCACCAGGATTTTTTTGGACAGAACCTAATATAGATTTAGGTAAGGTTTGTTGAATTTATGACTTCTTAGTTTTTGTCAGTAGGTCTTCTTACTAAAACATTTTTTTTCCACATGTGGAATCTAATTATGGGGGGGTGTTGTCTTAAATTTAGGGTTGTCTTGGATTCAGAGGTAAACTGAAATAATAGGAAACAAACATTAAAGCTGTAGTTTTATTTACTTGTAAAATTTAAATTTACTTGCTTTAAAATTTTCAGGGCAGAAGGGAACATCATGATCGTGAACTTTAAATTGACTGTGTAATGTAGGCTGTAGCATATATCACCCAGATTTCACTGTCAGGCCTAATAACTTGAACTACTTTGCAAAATGATATTTTAATTAAAAAATAAACTTAGTTATCCAGCTGTTTTAGCATTGCCTTCCCACCCACAATACCCTGCAAATGTTTTTATTAGTCATTGTTTTATGTGACTCGGCCTTGTTTTTAATGCAGTGTAAAACTTTTTGATGGTATCCCTTTAAAAAAAAAAAAAAAGGATGTGTTCAGCAAGGGAACAATTACAGTCTACTTTCTTTTCCAGAAATGTCTGACTATACTAAACCTGGAGTAATGTGATAGTACTTAGTTATGTAGTGAGAGGCAACGCTGGCATCTAATGTGTTCCTAGTATGGATTTTAGAAAGAGATATATGTTAGGGAGAGGGGAGGAAAGGGCTAGCAGGCTCTTTATCTGTGCTGTTTATTGACTTATACCAGGGCTCAGCAGATGGCCTGTGTCTGGCCTGCCCACGGGTTGGGAAATTTGGTGGAGGGGAACCAGTAGCAATTAATATAGCCACCCTCCCCTGCTGCCAATTTCCCAGACCCCAAGCCCTGTGGGGTTGGGTGTCGACCAGGTCACGCCCTTTTGTCTCAGGGCCACCAAGTGTGGGCTGGGACATGTTTCCTCCCTGCCACTGCCCATCTGGCTGTCAGGCAAATAGGTTGAGCACTGACCTATACAAATAGAGCATTTACATAGAACAAAGCATTTCCTATTTATGTTGTATTAGGCTGCAAAGTTAAGGGAAGAACATTATTTTTGAATTGGAGGGTGCTCTGTAATTAAGTTTGGTATCGTTTGTGATGGAGTTGAAGCTTGTAGGAAACAGTCAGAAAACTAATCCTACACACTTCCTTTTGTGCATCCTCCTTTAGAATCATAGAAAATTAGGGTTGGAAAGGATCTTAGGAGGTCATCTAGTCCAGCCTCCTTCTCATCCCCAATTATGTCACCAACAGGATGTAAATATAATTTAAGAAATATTAATTTAACCTTCTCTAATTTTATCAGTTAAACAATTAACTGATAACACAGCAGCTGGGACACAGCTGCTGCTGGGAGACACTCCTGGCTCCTGGGGACCTTTGACTGGTGGGGAAGGAAGCAAACCCAGCCAGACAACACAGCCCACGTGAAGCCCTGCCCTGGGATGGGGAGAGAACCTGTGAAGGAGCAGCTAGTTGCTTAATTGATGAGTCATTAGGCCTCTGGCTGTTTTCCTCTTTGGCTATGGGTATTAGTTCCCCTCCCTTCTCCTCCTCCCCTCCTTGCTCCTCTCTCCCTCCTTTCTGCCTGCCCTGCTGCCTTCTGATTCTGCTGGGGTACCAGGAAGCCTCCCTTTTCCCCACTTCCCTTTCACACTGCATAGGGAGCTAGAGAACAACCAGTAACCTAACTGGTTATCACTGCCCTTATTGGTTAAATGATTAATCAGTGGGGGTACTGGAAGGGGGGTGGGCTACAGGGGCCTGTAGCCCACCCCATAACTCTCCTTCCAGTGCCTCTGCTGCCTAGCTCCAGCACAGCTCCAGCCCAGGTCCCCCTTCTACCCTCCCCCGCCTGCTGAGAAGAGCCCAGCGCTGTTCCCAGCCTCAGTCCGCAGCAGCAGCCTGCCTTCACCCCACGCAAAGAACTGGGGGGCACATGCCCCCATGCCTCCTCAGGGGTGTGCCCAGTGGTGGGAGAACCCCCCCCCGACCCCAGACAAACTGCTCATGGTGTCCTGCCATGGCTGGTCAGTGTCTACCCCTGCCCCTCTCCTCCCTCACTGAGAGAGCCTTGATCTGCCCCTCCTTCTGCCCCTTCACCCCACAATACTTACCAGCTGGATGCTTCTTTCCAAGCTGCTGGGCTGCATATCGACAGTCGGATTAGTATCGGCCTCATCCATTGGTGTTGGCCCAAAAAATCTTTATTGGCGTACCCCTATCCACAACCTCTGTGGGTAACCTGTTCCGGTGTTTTACTACCCTCCTAGTGACAGAGTTTTTCCGAATACCTAACCTAAACTTCGCTTGCTGCAACTTGAGACCATTGTTCCTTATTCTGTCATCAGCCACCACTGAAAACAGGCCAGCTCTATTCTCTTTCAACCCCCCCTTCAGGCAGTAGAGGCTGCTATTAAATCGCGTCTCAGTCTTTTCTTCTCTAAACTAAATAAGCCCAGGTCCCTCAGCCTCTCCTCAGAAGTTCTGTTCCCCAGCCCCCTCACTATTTTTGTTGCCCTCCACTGCACTCTCCAATTTGTCTACATCTTTTCACTCTCTGACTGGTTTTCTCTTTGTAGTTTGGATAGTTGCTGGGATGATGCACAGTGTTGCTTATATAATTTTTTTATTAATGCTAGCAATGACGTAGTAGTGGTCTTGCTGTTTTCCTTGTATTTTCTTGTAGTGACAGGTGTTTTTTTGTACTGAAAGTAGGAGGCAAGGACTGACCAGTGTGCACAGCATTTTTGTACCTGTTAGTCACACATTTCAGATCTTGCAGTGGCTGGGCGTTTGGGAGTGGTGTGAAAATTCCACTTTTCTTTTCCACAATTTCACTTTGTAACCGTTACTGATACAAGATACAGTGTTGGTAGCTGACCAGAAGCAGACTTGGGTTTGTGGACTGGGATGGGGAAGGGAAGTGCTATTCTGGGACTTGTTTTAGGGTTCGCTCTTGTCCTGTAGGTCTGTATATATGAGCAGGGAGGGAGGGAGAGAGGGGAACTACACGCAAGCCCTGCTTAGCGCTCTTAATTGGTTCCGGAAAAAATGAGCCCTAAGTGAAACAGCACTAATTGAAACCTGTTTCCTCATTGGATTTAATGTAAATAAAGATAATTGGTTACACACCACCTGTCGGCCCAGACCCTGCGCTCCTACAGCCCCACCCTGGGCTCTGCCAGCCCGGGCCCTGCGCTCCTGCTGGCCCTGGCTGGGCCGCTCCCAGCAAGGCACCATGTGGGTTCTGCCAGGGAAGGCATCGGCTCCTCCCGGCCTCATTTTCCCTCTGCCGCGATGGCCCCTGCCAGCCCACATCTAGTGGCCACCAGTGCACCTGTGCATGGCCCCAGCCACCCTGCCCGTGGGGCCTGAGTCGGGGACCCGCCTGCCCAGTGATTTATGGTGAGAAGGCAGCAGGGCTCTGGCGCAGGGTAAGCAGTGGCGCCGCCCACCCGCCCATGCCCCGCTTTGCCCAGCAGGGACTCCTTCTAGGGCACTTGGCCCTGGGATGAGCCGCCACCACCAGATTGCAGCGGGGGCGGGGGAGTTCTGTGGGCTTGGCTTGCACTGGCCCAGGCCCTGCAGTCTTGCTGGCCCTAGCCTTGGGCCCTGTACTCCTCCCTGCCTGTGGCCGCTCCAGCACTACATGCCAGAGTGGACCCTGTACTCCTGTCACCTCACCCTGGGCCCTGCTGGCCTGGGCTCCAAGCTCACACTGCCCAGCCCCCCAACTGCCCCTGCCCTCTGACTGCTACTGCTCCTCCCCGCCCATTCCAGCAGCATGTGCCGGAGCGGACCCTGGGCTCCTGCCATCCCTCCCTGGGCTCCTGCCAGCTGCCACTCACCGCTTCCCTCGATGCCGACGCTACTGCTTCTCCCCACCCCTGCACTGAGCGCTAAGTGAAACCAGGTAGGTATTTTAAATTAGCGCTATAATGAAACCACGGTAAACGAAACCACATTAAGTTGGGGTTGTGTGTAGTTCATTCAAATCTCTTCCTTTGAG